GGGGGACACGGGTCAGACCATTGGGGGGGGCACGGGTCAGACCATTGGGGGGGGTTAAAATGTTTAGTCTGTTGCTCTAATCTTTTCTGTTGTTGTTTTCTTTTGATTGTGGTTTTTTGTTGTTTGTTGTTTTCTTTTATTTGTTGTTGTTTTGTTGTTGATGGTTGTTTGTTGTTGTTTTCTTGTTTGTTATTGTTTTCTTTTGTTTGTTGTTGTTTTCTTTTGTTTGTTGTTGTTTTCTTTTGTTTTTTGTTGTTTGTTGTTGTTTTCTTTTGTTTGTTGTTGTTTAGTTGTTGATGGTTGTTTGTTGTTGACTCAGGATCAGTATTAACAGTTTATAACTTACGGGCTGGATGGCGTCTTCGTGTCCTGCTCTGTCGTTGAGGTACCGTTGGGCGGTGTGGGGGGGGGCAGGGGAGATCCGGACGGACTGAAGGCAGGACTGCCGGGGTCAGAGGTCAACGGGGATGAGGCCCTGCTGCCGAGCCCCACTGTGGGGCTGTGGGAGGAGGCCGAGGAGATGGCCGGGGAGAGGGGGGTGTTGGCGAGGAAGGCAGGGGGCGTGGGGGAGGTGGAGGGGGAGGAGCCTGCGGAGGACGACAGGAGGTCAGGGAGGTTCTGACTGGACGAGCGGCGGCTCCTCCTTCCCTCCTGGTCACTCGCCGCCGTCTTCCTCCTCTCTTTGCGCAGCTGGGGGCCGGAGTCGTCCACCTCCCCGTCCTCGTACTTCAGAGCTGTCTGCACACACACACACACACACACACACACACACACACACCAGTGAACTCTCACTGTTATGACTGTAACTGTAACTCTGATCCACTGTAACACCCTGTTGTTCATGTGCCTTGATGTCATGTTTGTTACAGGTGTTGTTATTGTTATATATTGTTATTGTTGTTATATTATTGTTGCTGTTGTTGTTACCTCGTAGATGGTGAACTGGGCCCTCAGGTCCGGCTCCGTCCCCTTGTAGTTCATGTGTTTGTGGATGATGGTCTCCATCCCCAGCTGCTCCAGACTGTCTGTCACATCGTAGAACGAGTCCTGGTCAGGGAGCGCTGCCAGAGTCTGACACACACACACACACACACACACACACACACACACACACACACACACACACACACACACACACACACACACACACACACACACACACACATATTACTAGAGCTCAGTGATAGTGTCGTCCTCTCATCATTTCAGATCTCAGGTGATCTGATGTTATTGATTGTCTATTTACCTTGTTGATGAGCGTCATGGCGAACATGAGCAGCTCTGTGTCGGAGCCGTTTCTCTCCTCCAGGACCTCCATCACATAACTCCACGGCTTCACACCTACACACACACACACACACACACACACACACACACACACACACACACACACACACACAGAGGTGTGGTAGAAGGTAGATAACATACATAGAAATAATAGTATCAAACATGGAGAAAGAGTGAGAGTGTGCGTGCGTGTGTGTGTGTGTGTGTGTGTGTGTGTGTGTGTGTGTACCTCTCTGTCCGTCCACCGTGTTGACGGCGTTGATGAGTCGAGGACTGTTTGACTCTGAATATTCCACGAAGACGATGAGCAGCTTCAGAGACGTCTTCACCACCAGACGAGACTGAGGACACAGAGACGTTCAGCGTCCAGCAGGGGGCGCCACCACTCCACTGTGATGTCACACTATAATAAACTACATTCTAATGTTTGACCTTTGACCTCTGTGATTCATGTCAGGAAATCTGCAGACACCTGAGCTCAGCTGTTTATTTACCTGAGGTATTTTAGTGACAGGTGAGGACTGAGTCGGATACACTCACAATCAGTCTGTCACACACGTCTGGTGTTTTTCACAATAAAGCTCTGCAGGTTGTTAAGTCTTGGTATTTTTCAGAATAAAGGTCTGCAGTTTGTTTAGTATTAGTGATTTTCAGAATAAAGGTCTGCAGATTTTTTAGTCTTAATGTTTTTCAGAATAAAGGTCTGCAGTTTGTTTCGTCTTAGTGTTTTTCAGAATAAAGCTCTGCAGTTTGTTAAATCTTGGTGTTTTTCAGAATAAAGCTCTTGGTGTTTTTCAGGATAAAGCTCTACAGGTTGTTGAGTCTTGGTGTTTTTCAGAATAAAGCTCTACAGTTTGTTAAATCTTGGTGTTTTTCAGAATAAAGCTCTACAGGTTGTTAAATCTTGGTGTTGTGTTTTTCAGAATAAAGCTCTTGATGTTTTTCAGAATAAAGCTCTACAGTTTGTTGAGTGTTTTGCAGAATAAAGCTCTGCAGGTTGTTGCTGTGGACTCACCAGACTTCCTGTCAGTGTGTAGAGCCACTGCACCGTCTCATTGTGGTTTATCACCCCGTTCATACCGTCTACAAACAGCATGATCTGACTGAGAGCTGAAGACACAAAGACAGACAGTTACTGATAGACAGACACAGACAGACAGACAGTTACTGACGGACAGACAGACAGTTACTGATAGACAGACAGTTATTGACAGACACACAGACACACAGTTACAGACAGACACACAGTTACTGACAGTTATTGACAGACAGACAGTTACTGACGGACAAACAGACACACAGTTACAGACACAGTTACTGACAGATAGACAGTTACTGACAGACAGACTGTCCGTGTCTGTCTATCAGTAACTGTTACTGACAGACAGTTACTGATAGACAGACACTGACAGACAGACAGTTACTGACAGACACACAGTTACTGACAGACAGACAGTTACTGACAGACAGACAGACAGTTACAGACAGACAGACAGCAGGTGTCTGTCGGTGGTGTCTAATCACAGGTTGGGTCTGTCTACGTGCTGGGAGTGGTCCACTTGTCCTGTTTCATTTAAATGACTCCAGTGTCGTTTTTAGTGTTTCGTTCAAACGGTCAGAGATTCACAGGAAACAGAGCCAGAGTCTGTTTTTTCCTGACTGATCCTGAACCTCACACTGAGCCCCTCAGCTCCATCACATCCTGTTTCCTTCCTCTCAGAGATGTCCCTGCTGGTCGTCGGGGCCCCCCCTCTACAGGGGCCAAAGATAAATCTGCAGGTGCTGACATCATCAACAGAAGCAAATAATCAAAATCAATAAATCATATTTTTAATGAGACTTTCTATAATCTGTGTTGTTTTCCTCTGAAATACTGATGAACACACAGTATATAACATCTGTGCGAAAGGGTCAGAGGTCAGAGATCACAGACTGACACACTCTGCTTTAAGGAGATGCTGCACTGACTCTTGGATGAACAGCAGGTGGAGCTCTCACAAACTAACGAACTCCACAGAGACAGGAGGAGAAGAAGAAGGAGGAGAATGGACTGTGATGGAGGGATTCAGGAAAACCTCAAACTCCTCACAGCTCCTCATCAACACTGGTATTTTTCAGAATAAAACTGCAGTTTTTCAGAATAAAGGTGGGTGGAGTCTCACCTCTCAAGATGTAGTTCTGGTAGTTGTGGTCGGCCTCGGCTCCAACTTTAATGAAGCATGTCAAACCTTCAGATGCCACGAACTCTGGAACCAGGTCTTTATCATCCTGGCGGGGGGGGGGCAGAGAGGGAGAGAGAGGGAGAGAGAGAGAGGACCTGGACTGTTACTGTGACTCTGGATGTTTCCAGAGGAACTCATCATTTGAACGTGATGAGAAACACTGAGATCAGATGATGCTCCTGTTCTGACAGTTCAGATTCATGTCTGAGCCTGGAGGCTGTGTGTGTGTGTGTGTGTGTGTGTGTGTGTGTGTGTGTGTGTGTGTTACCTGGAACAGCTGTTTGAGGGAGAACAGAGAGCGTCTGAGCTCTGGACCATGAGAGTTGTACAGCTTCTCTGAAACACACGAGAGAGAGACAGGAAGTGACATCACGATCACGTCGGACTCTGTGAATCAGTGATGCTGTATGAGCGGCTGTAATAACTGTGACTGCTGGAGGAGGAAGCACCTCCCTGTACATCAGTGCTTCTCTATCTCATGTCCCAATGGAAAATCCCAAAAATAATGGCGACCGTCGTCGGACCTCATGACAATATGGAGGCCAAATAATTTTTCACAGAGCAGTTTTATAATTCACTCTTCCTGTTGCTGACCTGCTGTCCATGGACGTGATATTTAATCAGACTGAGAACTGGTTCACAGTCAGGTCCAGCATCAACATAAAACTTCCTGTTGGTTTATCACTGACTAAGTAATGTAAGTAATGTTTTCAAACATAAGTTTTTAAAGACCATTTCATTTGCAATCATTTAAAAGCATTATTTACATTTATATATTTATTTATAATTATGTCTTTTCAATAAATTTGTAAATGCTTTGCAAATGATTTGTCGGCCCACTTGTAATACCTTCGCGGGCCACCAGTGGGCCCCAGCCCACAGCTTGGGAACCCTGATCACATCACATCAGATCCAGTATATGATGAACCACAGTGTTTACAGTCAGCAGGCTCCAGCTGTCATTACAATGTGTCAGAAAACTTCATATATAAAACAAAAACTTTATTTATACAGCTCCTTTAAAACAGCCATTAAAAGCTTCATAAAGAAGCAGAAGAACGTAGCAGAGACACAAGTTAAGTCATTAAGTCAAAGCTGTGTGGGAGAAACGATTTAAAAGCAGACTGAGTGTTGTATTCTCAAGCGAAGTGTTGCAGAGAGTTCAGCTCATCTGAGGAGGAGGAGTCAGGAACCTCGGCACCTGCACAGCTTCAACAGGTGAGAGTAAAGATTTAAAGTCCTCTCTAAAACAGACAGAAGTCATGTGATCACTGTGTTTCAATAATCCAGAGAGAGGAGATCAAATCATCCATCACTGTCTGGAGAACAAGGAAGTAAAAGATCTGATTCCACATGTTCTCACGTCGAGTGGAGAAGGAACAACGAGATTTAACATGGATCCAAGAGTCAGGGCTGATCTAGAGTCACTCCAGAGGACACCACATGTGATGTATATATGTATATATATAGATAAGTATATGTATATGTATCACAGTAACTTGCCTGGTTTCACTGTGACTCTGACTCCTCTGTCTCTCTAACCTACGGTGGCCTGGACAGGACCAACTGTGGCTGCTTTCACATTCCTCACACTCCTGTGGCTTCTGGTCAGTGTGTGTGTGTGTGTGTGTGTGTGTGTGTGTGTGTGTGTGTGTTGGTCACTTTGTCCTGCTTCCTCCATGTTGTGTGTGTGTTATTATTCCAGTCCTGCATCAGACTCTCAGCATCTATAGAACCTACTGAAGACGTATGTGGGGGTGACCCCTGACTCACTCTGCACATCATTTCTACAAACTGCTTTTTTGACAGTTGGGTTCAGCTGAATGCTCTGGCCCCTCCCCCACTGTGACATAGGCAAGCCCCGCCCAGACCCCCCCAGACTCCCTGACCTCCAGCAGACTGTTAGCTCTAACCGCCAGCTCTACGTCTCTCTCAGTGTCCTCCCCCTCAGTTGCAGCATTTACCCTTTAAAATTACACCATAGCAGCCACCCAGATCACCCATAGCAACTGCCTGACGGAGAAACACCTGAGAACACCTGACAGCCCCCTGACGCTCTGATAACACTGTATCTCCCATGAAGCGCCACAGAGCTGCAGACGAACCACAAGGAGGTGCCAAAATATTTCATGAGCAGGTCGAGGTCAGATTGTCTGTCTGCTCTTTATGCTAAGCTACGCTAACTAGCTGCTGATGTCCAGTCAGAAGATGAACTCAAATTAACTCCATCATACACACACACACAAACACACACAGCCTATCATAGTAACAGGAAGTCACGGGGGTCGGTTGTCACAGCAACATGACATATAAATCAGGCCTTGTTGAGTCTCAATGGGCTTCATGCTGCACACAGTCAAATCCCATGATGCCACAGGGCAGATTCACATCAGACCTCGACCTGCTGTGACCTCAGGTAACCTCTGAGCTGACTCAGTTTTAGTACTTCAACTAATTCTAGTGTTTACTCTGTTGACCTGTGTTTATGATGAGACACACACACACACACACACACACACACACACACACTCTGTTGTGGGATGTTTGTGGGACGAAACTCCTGCAGCAGAAACATCCAAACTAAACAACACTAACCCTGTTACTGTGGAGAGCCTCACAGATGACAGCGTGTCATATCGGCTCTTATTGTGAAAGGTCTCCAGCAGGAAGCAGCCTGGTTCAGAGAGCGAGAGGAGACGAAGGAGAAAGTTTTCTATCATGAAGCAGGAGGATGACGTGCAGAGTCAGCTGTCTGCTGTTGCCACGGAAACTCAGATTATCAATCTCCATCCCTCCATCACACAGAGAGGAGGATAATTAGAGGTGGAGAAAGGAGGCGGGGCAAGAAGCAGACTCTGGTTCGTTCTTTCAGAGTGTGTGTGTGTGTGTCAGTGAGTGTGTGTGTGTGTGTGTGTCAGTGAGTGTGTGAGTGTCAGTGTGTGTTTGTCATTGTGTGTGTGTCAGTGTGTGTTTGTCATTGTGTGTGTATCAGTGTGTGTGTCAGTGTGTGTTGAGACACATCAGTGTTTGTGTGTGTGTCAGTGTTTGTGTGTGTCAGTGTGTGTGTGTCAGTGTGTGTGTGTCAGTGTTTGTGTATGTCAGTGTGTGTGTGTCAGTGTTTGTGTGTGGTCAGTGGTGTGTGGTCAGTGTTGTGTTGTGACAGTGAGTGGGTGTGTCAGGTGTTTGTGTGTGTCAGTGAGTGTGTGTGTGTGTGTGTGTGTCAGTGAGTGTGTGAGTGTCAGTGTGTGTTTGTCATTGTGTGTGTGTCAGTGTGTGTTTGTCATTGTGTGTGTATCAGTGTGTGTGTCAGTGAGTGTTTGTGTGTGTCAGTGTTTGTGTGTGTGTCAGTGTTTGTGTGTGTCAGTGAGTGTGTGTCAGTGTTTGTGTGTGTCAGTGTGTTTACTGTGGAGTAAACAGGACGCTCCGTCTCATGTGTCCCAGCAGGAGTTCTCGACCCTGAGAGAAGCTGCATCATTTCACATTAGAGCTGCATGATATGAAAATAAAAAATCATATTGATATTTTGTTTTTTTTATTTATTTAAACTTTAATTATTCAGGTGAATCCTTTTGAGATGTAAATCTCATTTTCAAGAGAGACCTGACTGTTCATAAAAAAGTCCAAAAATAATTTACCATTCAATTTAAATAAGAACCAAATAACAAACACAGAAAATGTAAAACATAAAAGAATGCTGAGAGGTTATATAAGTTCATTTTCAGATGATGTGATTTTTGTTCCTTTATATGGAGAATCTGATCTGTAGCTCCACAACACTGACGGTGCTAACAATGCTAATGCTAACAATGATCAACAATGAGACACATTTTATATTTATCAAAAATATGATATGATGGAGATTTCTATTATATTTAGATTAACTGTGCAGCTCTGACAGACAGTGTGGGGTCACAGTGTGATGTCACAGCATCAGTGTGATGTCACAGCACAGAAATAGCAGCAGGCGTTATGAAGCTATGACCAACAGTTTGACAGTCTGGTGTCAAACGACTGGACAAACGTCTCACGGCAGGACGAGACATTTCTAAACCGACAGAATCAATAAATCTGTTTCCAGAGTCAGCTCAGAGACAGAGGTCCAGGATCAGGACCATGTGACCCTGTGTCCCTCATGAAGACAGTCCTCAGCCAGCCTCCTGTCAGTGTGTATGATGCAGTGAACAACAGGCAGCTCATCATCACTGTACAGGAAGTCTCTCCATCCAATACATGAACCATGTTCATGTCTCCATGTCCACTGTTCACCTACGACCTAACATGGCCGACATCATCACCTGACGTCCTCTCCCAGACCTCTGAGGGTCTGTGTGTGACACACATCCAGATCACTACTGTTTATATTAGAACATAAAAGAGTTTTCAATTCTCAAATATCAGATGGTCCCTGAAGTCTCAGTTGGTTTTAGGGGCTAAATGTTTGTATTTAATGTGTTTTTATGTTCTGTTGAATCTGCTCAATGACCCCTCACATAGGTCAAAGGTTAAAGGTTTCTCCTCTCTGATAGGTTTATCTGTGTGTGTGTGTGTGTGTGTGTGTGTGTGTGTGTGTGCTGCTGCAGCTCTTCAGCTCTGTGACGTCTCCTCTGATGAAACATTCAAACCACAGACTCCATGTTGTTCATGGAAACTTTCCACGTCTGCTGCTTCATTTTACACACGACACACACTCTGGAAACTTCTGCTGTAGCTTAACATCAGGTTCAGTGTGTGTGTGTGTGTGTGTGTGTGTGTGTGTGTGTGTGTGTGTGTGTGTGTGCAGCAGCTTCAGAGGTTAAACATCTAATCACTGAAAATTGCTCTGATATGAGTTTTCATTTCAGACTAAATTACAGCCGAACAGATGAGAAATGAAGAATTTGAGATATTTCAACACACACACACACACACACACACACACACACACAGACACAGACACACACACAGTCTCTGTTAAACGAAGCTCAGACTGACAGTGGAAGCAGCTCCTGCAGCTCTGAGGCGTTCGGGTGTCATGGGAGAACAAAGCGCTGCTGTGTTAAACATCACTGTAAAAAACATCTGGTGTGTTGGTGGAAAACGTCCGTCTCTAAATATTTCTCTGTTCACATGTTTCACCACAGAGACTAAAAATAAAGGCTGACGTCAGAGGTCTGATCTGAACGGAGGACACGGATCTGATCAGCTGCAGTCTGTCTCTGATATTATCTGATCATTTATTTGATCAATGATAAATATCTGTAAATATAAATATCACAGACGCTGTGTTTGAGGACACGACAGAGAAGAGACACGTTTTACACTGTGAAAGATCTGACCTGAGGTCTGAGCCTCTGGCT